ACTAATTCTTGCTTACAAAAATACATGCAACAGATCCTGTGTGCTCAGTGACTGGAATATTCATTGTGGCCTTTAGTAATGGAGTTCCCCAAAGTTCACAAAGCCCAGACAAGTCTTAACAAGGAAAAGAAATATTGAAGTTTTTCGAGTGGGAGGTTTAGTGAGGTTCTACATATCTGCCCTTTCCGTAACCCTAGTCTATAGTTATCTTTTCTGTGAGTTTGTTTGCATTTAAGTTTCAACAAGATATCTTTTCTTGTTTTAAAATGTGTTTTAAATTGAAAAGTGAGCACGTCCATCTCAACCCGCCCAATATTTGATTTGGGTGTTTTTTCTCCCATTCTGCCCTTTGTCTCAAATAGTTGAGTAGGCTCTGGTTAAGTATTTGATTCATTTCATATACCATGGAGCAAACAAAAAGGAACCAGAGAGTGAATATAGTTTCGGCATGGGCTTTTTTTTTTCTTTGGGCACAGCCCTACAGGGATGTAAGGTGTTCAAACCTTGGTTATACTACTTCATTGAGGGAGATAATGCCATTGAAGGGACAAAGGCTTCGGCTAGTTTGTACAAGCCTTAACTTTTATAAAGTATGTTTTCATGTAAATATCAGTTAGGAATATAAATGGCTTGAAACACAAAATAGTATTAATGGCATTTTCATGGAATTATCTTAGCACTTCTTTCCCCCCTAATTCCTGGTTCTAACACAATATTTATATAATGAGAATACATCTAATTGTTAATTTTCATTTAAATCCATTATAGATTTTCATATTTAGTCATGTGGAATTACATTCCTCAATATTCCTCTCGTGCTGTGCGTGTATGTGAGAAGGCAGGGTATGGATGGAATACAGGTATTCAATACCAACAATTACCTCCCCTTTAGCTATGAGGAAGAACCACAAAATTAATTTTGATACCATGTTAGATTAACCATTATATATCCTAATGTTTGGTCGATATTGGATTACATTCCTTAGTAATACCACTGCATAGATTATATGGTTGAGTGATACTGCAATTATACTTTACTGGTCAGAGTTATATGATCTTAATATCTTCCATTTTTATGTTGGATGGGTTGGGTGTCTAGTTGGATGTAACCAAGTAAGAAAATGGTGAGGTGAGAATGAGAGAGAGATAGAAAGGATAGTATGCCTATATTTTACTAACCGGTGAAGATTGATTGAGGATCTGATCCTGTTTTGTTTTTTCCTTAATGGCTTTCTCATATACTATCCAAATTTATCTTGTACTAAATTGCATAGTGGTTTATGTTTGAACAGGAACAGCAGTTGTGATTGTCATGTTGGTGACCACATTCCTTATGATTCTAATCATGATATTAGTTTGGCGCTGTCATTGGATTCTTGTCCTGATCTTTACTGCCTTGTCATTGGTTGTGGAGTGTACATACTTCTCTGCAGTGCTTTTCAAGGTCGACCAAGGTGGTTGGGTTCCCCTCGTGATTGCAGCAGCCTTTCTTCTCATCATGTACGTATGGCATTATGGTACAGTGAAACGGTACGAGTTTGAGATGCATAGCAAGGTTTCAATGGCTTGGATCCTTGGGCTTGGCCCCAGCTTAGGACTGGTTCGGGTGCCTGGCATTGGACTTGTGTACACTGAACTAGCCAGTGGGGTGCCCCACATTTTTTCTCACTTCATCACAAATCTACCAGCCATACATTCTGTTGTTGTTTTTGTCTGCGTGAAGTACCTTCCTGTTTACACAGTCCCAGAAGAGGAGAGGTTCCTTGTAAAGCGAATTGGACCCAAGAATTTTCACATGTTCCGCTGCGTGGCAAGATATGGGTATAAAGATCTCCACAAGAAAGATGATGACTTTGAGAAAAAGCTATTTGACGGCCTCTTCTTATTCGTGCGGCTGGAATCCATGATGGAGGGATGTTCGGATTCTGATGAATACAGTTTATACGGCCAGCAAACTGAGAGATCCATGGATGGCTTACTGAATAACAATGGAAATGCAACTTCTTCCTACGCGGATACGGTTTCCTCTCTGGACTCGATTATACCCTCAAAATCAGCAGTGCAGGCGAATAATACAGTGAATTCGAGTCAGATGAGCAGCCACACGGATGTGGATGAGTTAGAATTTTTGAATAACTGTAGGGATGCAGGGGTGGTGCACATACTGGGGAATACAGTGGTGAGAGCGAGGAGGGAATCGAGGTTTTACAAGAAGATAGCGGTTGATTATATATATGCATTTCTTAGGAAAATATGTAGGGAGAACAGTGTCATCTTCAACGTTCCTCATGAGAGTCTTTTGAATGTGGGACAGATATTCTATGTATAATTTTTTTGATGCCGTCATCAATAATGAAGTAATAAAATAGTCTTGGTTGTTGTCCGATTGTAAATTCATTCAATTGAAAGAGAGAATGGTGGGGATTACGGATTTAGATTTTAGAATCTTTAAGACATGATTTTTTTTTTTATTAAAAAAAAAAAAAGGAAATTGCTTACTCTTAAGAAAATTAGAGAGCTGACCAAGTCTCTCTGTCTTTTCTTCTAATTGAGTTATTTATTATTAAAAATAAATTAAAATGTTCATTATAAATATCTTCTCAGTTTTGTATTAGGTATGAATAAATAATATTAAGAGAGAGAGAGAGAAGAATATTCTTAAAAAAGTGATTGCTAAAATACTTTTTTTTTTAGATTATTAATTATATAATATTCTAATTGAATATTCAAAAAGAAATAAATAAAATATTTTTTTAAATTTAAATTTTAGATGATATTTATACATTAATAATAAAATAATAATTTAACGAAAAATACATAAACAAACAACTCAAAAAATCTAAAAATCAAATTACAAAATGAATTTGAGAATGTATATTGTGGCGAAAGAAACGTAGATGTTGGGATTATGGAGATAAACAATTGATGAAGGTCAAAATCTGGCAGCTAATCAAATATTAATTTAAATTGTTTGGAAATCAAAGTTTGTTAAATTATAATTAATCATAATTAATTGAACAGCCTGCCTGGTTTCAATTGTATTAATTTGTCATCCACCCTCCCTCCCTTATTTAATGCCTCCTTTGTTTTTCACAAAATTTATATTTAAAATAATCAAATCTGGGTTTAGTCCACACAGACTATATGATTTAGTTGTTGCTTGAAGCTGACGACTTATGACTTTGACAAATAACCATGACGTGATTTAATTAATTATTATATATATATATATATATTTCTTGGTCTAATTCAAACTAAATTTACAAAGGAGTAAACTTATTTTAATTGATTCTCTACTCATAATTTAGTTTCCCAAATACAAGTAAAAAAAAAATTAAATACTTTATGTTATACTTTTAATAATTTAGTTTATGCCATGTGGGTCCATAGGATGTTGCTTCTTTTTTAAATATATTAAAATCTTATTTTATAAAAATAAAAAAAGATTACGTTATACTTTACCATGTCGGCTGTAAATATTTCACATGTGCACTAATATCTTTAAATTTTTTTCCATCAATTGAAGGGTTTAATCTGATTGGAAAACGTAACTCGGATTTCTTCACATATTATATTTTATATAAATGACTGTATCAAGGTTAGGACCACGTCACATAATATATACATACATACATATATATATAATTTAGTTTCTAAAAGTCATATGCACTTGTTATATCAACTAAGATTTTTTTTTTTTTTTTTTTTCTTGACATAAAAAAGCTAGTCGCCCCTAATTACATATATATATATATATATGTTTATATATGTATCGATTACTCCCAAATCGTTTATAAACTTTATAAGGGTATATCCCACTTGATCAATATTATATTATTAGCTATATATCCTAGCGCGCGCGCACACACACACACACATATATTTAGTGTGGAAATACACGGGTGTACATGTGCGTATATATGTGTGTGTATTCATTAGAGAGGGAAGATTAGAAATCAGGAAGAAGAGATTAGAACGAGTGTGATGATGAGCAGTCAAACTAAATCTCCCATCATCGGAATCATTCTGTTATTCTCCGGAGTTATCATAACATGCTTTATCCTCTACAAATCCGCTAACCCTCTTCAATTCCTTCCTTTCTCCACCTCTCTTTCTTTTTCCTCTCCCTCCACCAATTCAACTCAGGTAATTCAACAAACCTCTACTTACATCGTTATTTATATATCAACATACATCTACCTATATTTACATGTTAGTTGATAATTTAACACTGATATAGGTCAACGAGTTAGAGGTAATTCTAGAAAGAGCGTCGAATGAAAACAAAACGGTGATCATAACGACGTTGAATCGAGCATGGGCGGAGCCAAACTCGACGTTCGACTTATTTTTGAAGAGTTTTCGAGTTGGACAAGGAACGGAGAAGTTATTGAATAATTTAGTGGCGGTGTGTTTAGATCCGATTGCATATAATCGATGCTTGGAGGTGCATTCTATTTGCTATTCACTTACAACCGCCGGAAATAATTTCACCGACGAGGCATTTTTTATGAGCCAGAGTTATTTAGATATGATGTGGAGAAGAATTGAATTCTTAACTTCTGTCCTTGAGCTCGGTTACAGCTTTGTCTTCACGGTACGTATTATGTATACATACTTTCCTTTTTGTTTCTAAGTCTTTGGTTAAGTTATTTTTCTTTTTATTGCAGTAATATATGTATATATATGGGTATGTTGCCAAGAGTATATGAACACAATGGTCGATGATTCGAATTCAGGTCATTCGTTCACTTTTGTTAATATATATATATAGAGAGAGAGAGAGAGAGAGAGAGAGAGAGAGACTTATTAGTGCTAGTTTGGGAGACTTTTCTTGATTATTGATTGATTTAAAAGAAACAAGATTGTAAATTATTGATCTTTTTCGGCAGAGTAAGAGTTTTAGTTAAACTGAATTACTTGCAGGAAAAAGAAAATCATACCGTACGTCTAAATGACAAACTCTTCTAATTTTAAAAATTATTCCTAGTTTTATATATATATATATATATGGGGGTAGTTTTGTAATTTCCAGTTCATCTTCCTCACAACAAAATCTTTATTTTATTTTTTATATTCAATTTGTTGCTTTCTGTACGTTTTCTCAGCAGCTAAACTTATTTGACTTTATTAACTTAAATCTAATTTTGTTTTTTTCAAAGTATCGATTTGTAGAAGATAAAATATATAGTCGTGATGCACGCAGGATGCCGATATAATGTGGCTTCGGGATCCATTTTCACGATTTTTCCCCAACGGAGATTTTCAAATAGCATGTGACAATTTCTACGGAAATCCTCTAGACTTGAATAATCGACCAAATGGAGGGTTTACTTATGTTAAATCAAACAATCGAAGCATCGAATTTTACAAGTTTTGGTACTCGTCTAGACTAACCTATCCGGGCAAGCACGATCAGGATGTACTTAACGTGATCAAGAAACACCCATTTATCCGAGAGATAGGACTACAAATAAGGTTCTTAGACACTGTTTACTTCGGAGGATTTTGCGAGCCAAGCAAAGATTTGAACGTGGTTTGCACAATGCATGCTAACTGTTGTGTTGGTCTTTGGAAGAAAGTTCATGACCTTAATCTTGTGTTGGAGGATTGGAGCAATTTCTTGTCTTTGAATCAAACCCAAAGAGCTCAAAGCAAATCTTGGAGTGTTCCCAGCAAATGTGGCTTCTAATTTTATTTGGGTTTCAGTTTCGTCTACTCTTGTTTATTTTGTGAATAGGTAAGTACTAATTGGTTTTACTTTTAAAAAAATTCTAAGTTATCTATCTATATATATATATATATATATATAAGTAATTTATGAGATATGAATTGATTAATGCACCTAATTTTGGCCAAATTAAAGTGGGAATTTTGTCCCTCTCTAAATGAACTTTTTTTTTTTTTTTTTTTTTTTTTTGTTGGGGTCTCTGAATGAAGCTCTCTAAAATGAACTCAGTAAATTGGGGCATGTTAATTAAAGTATAATCGTTAATTAACATAGAAAGACTTTTAATTAAAAGTAGAATTGGGTTTTAGCTTTCCACTGAAAAATGTGTGATTTTTAGCTGCTTATTATTTGGGTTGGGTCAGCTAAGAAAATAGATGTTGTGAATTATGTTGTTGATGATTTTCTAAAACATTTACTTTCATTTTTTCTTTAATTCTTGATATTATTTGAAATTATTTAAACAGCAACAGATTGTGTGATTTACGATTTTCAAGATTCAATGAATATAATTAAAAATAAATGAATTTTTAAAAGTAAAAACAAAAAATAATTAAAAATAAAAATAAACAAAAAAAATCTATAGAGAAGCTTTTGAAAAGTATACATAAACGTCAGGATATGAAGAAAGTTCTAATGGCAGCTTGAACCACAATTTTAGGGCCGCCATTGATATTAAATTTAAAACAAAAATAATGATTTGATCAACCTAATCTTTATTTTTATTTAAATTAATTACTTTTTTAATTGTTAATTAAATTAGTTCTTTTTTATATATATAAATATATATATTTATAAAAAAAAATATTGATTTAATTATTTCATATTAATAAAAACTAACACTAATTAATTTTAGTATGACGTATTAAATTTAATAATAAATAATACATTTTTAATTAATTTAAATATTAATTAAATATTATATGTTATTTAGCGTAATATTAAAAAAAAATTATTTTTTGTGACTGTATGTAAAGTAGGAGAATGCTGGAAAAGATTTATAAGGATGTATTTGTTATAAAGGGTAGTAATTTGTGCAAAAAGCAGTTAGATTATATACTAAGTGTATTTCAGTTCAAATTCAGTCGCAATAAAAGGAAAGAGAAAAAAGAATGATGAAATTCAGAACATAATTGACAAGTTAATTTAATCTTTCATATTTTTTTTATTACTAGAGGATATTTTAAATTTATCTAATTTAGATTAACTTTCTGTAGTAATTTCAACAAACTTAACTATTTTTAATTAATTTTAATTATAAATAATTGATATATATGTTATATTATTTAAAAAAATAAAAATATATTGAAAATAAATTTCATTACAAATAATTTAAAGAATTTTCGTATAGGTGGTGAGATTTGTATTTAGATAACATAAACATATATTTTATTAACAATTGTTGTAAAGCAATCTCATAAGCACAATAATTTTATATGTTGGATCCGAAAATAATTGACAAACTAGGGAAGCTTCAAGTCTCATATATTATCCTTCTCATGGATACAAAACTAAGGGAGGATAAAATGGATTCTCTTGTAGTAAAACTAAAACTTAAAAATGGATGGTGTAAGTAGGATTTGTGCTAAAAAAGAAGTGGGACTTTTATGTTTGGGATCAAAATTTTCTTTCTTTTTAAAATTTATCTTCATTTTGTTATGTCATGTAGATATGTAAACTGAGTAGGTTAAGGATGTGGAATCAAGATTTGCACCGAGTACATGATTAATCTCAATATCAATTTAAGGTATAAAAACTTAGGATATGCCATGTGACATTTATTCCCATTTTGGAGGTCATCTTATGTTAGGACCAGAAGAAAAGATAGAAATTTTATCTAGGTTGATAATTTTATGTATACCTAAGCTGAATTTAAATCTTCTAGAATCAAGTTTTCAAGCATATATTTGACTAATGGTTGTTCGGAAACTGGAAAAAGTAGAAAAAAGTTAGGTGCGAACTCAAAATTAAAGAATTTTTCTCAACCTCTTTATCATCCTAGATCCTAGTTGCCTGCAAACAAAATAGGTCATTGAAAAGACCTTTGCTTCTTAAACTCTGAAAGAAAGTTTTGGTTCTTTTAAATTGTGCAGTTTTTTTTTTTTATATTTTGAGAATCTTTTTAACTTTTTCTTTACAACTTGGTTTTAATTTATATAACTTTGACAATGGCACCTTATATAATTTAGGACTATAATCATTCATCTTGACTTTTCAAATTTTTGGTCTACAATGATCTCTTGTGACTGGCGTATTTTTCCTTCATAATAAAATATAACAATGATAATAATACAAATCCACATACATGCTAGCATATAAACCATCAACTTTGAACCCTTTAATAGCCAGAAAAAAAAATTTAAACATTAGTCAAAGCCAATACAACAAGGAACATGTCGGAGATTCAAAATTTTGAGAACAAGAGTATAACAATGTAATTACAAAAAAGGAAAAAAAAAAAAAAAGACTTGACACAGTAATCATATTTCTATAAAACAGGAAACAAACTTCTGTGTCCGACAATTTGTGACCTGATTTATAATCATCACAAACAACAACACTTAGACTACTTGATAATTTTCTGTGATCAGTTGCATTCTCTGAGAAAACTTGGCTGGCGTTCCACCTCTCACAGGGATGATATTTGCAACCTACAGGGATGTAAATCAAAATTCTCCGCATTCTATTTGAAAAGGAAAGACAATGGGACAACACATTTGGAAAACCAATCTATCAAGAGTGAAATATGCTTGTATGATCTAAAGAGTCCTCTAGTTAAGGAACCTGCAACCATGATGGACCTTCATTATAAATCATCCTTTA